ACGCTCCAAGGGAAAGACCCTGCCATGGCTGATGGCACCAAATGTCACCAAGTTTCCTGCAGCAGAAAGAGCCATTCATGGGTGCCGCCTGCCTGCTCAGCTTGGCCAACAATGGGCAGACTGTGAGCCGGCCTGCCGAGGGGGGTGGGGAAGGGAGGTGTCCTCAGGCCTCAGGGCAGCAGGGATCACAAAGCTGACCTTAGGACCACCCTGAGACAGGGTCTGCTCAGATGCGCAAGTGCTGCTCACCCCACGGTGTTAGCAGGACCAAGTTTCATCATCAACGGCCCCCTCAGTGCCAGAGCAACCGTGACATCATGACCCTGTCCTCAGGTGGCCCCTTGCCACCACCACCATGACCAAGTCCTCAGTACAGGCTGCCACCTTGGCTCAGGCACTTGGCCCACATGGCCCTGGGTGCATCCCTTGACTTAGGGCCTCCGTACAGCTAGACTACTTGTTAAAGGCAAGGATGGCAAGACTTTGTCTCGTGTGCCTTGGACATGTTGTCAGGAGAGAGCAGTCCCTGGAGAAGGTTTTCGTGCTTGGTGAAGTGGAGGGGCAGAGAAAGAGAGGGAGACCTTTGACAAGACGAACTGACAGTGGCTGCAGCGATGGGCTTGAACTTAATAACGATTCATGAGGCGGATGCAGGTCTAGGCAGTGTTTGCTCCGTTGCCCATGGAGTCGTTATGAATGGGAAGCGGCTCGCTGACACCTAACGGCAGCATAGACTTGTCAAGGCTGTAAATCTTTACACAAGGCCTCAACTTCCTCCCGTGAAGGGGCTGGTGGGTTTGAACCGAAGACTTGTGGTTAGCAGCCCGGCATTTAACCTAGTGAAAAGCAGGCCACCTTCCCCTCTCTGTCCCTACCTTGGCACGCCCCTCCCACCTGGGGACCTGCCCATAGCCACTGCCTCATTGAGGCCAGTTCCAACCACAAGCTCTCCACCCTGCTAGGGTCTCCACCACAGACAGGGCTCGCCAGGCACTGTTGTACCCACTGCAATGACACAGAGGTGGCTCCCTGTCCTCCCACTTACAGTGGGCACCATGGATGAACACAAGGGGCCAGCCATCCGTCACAGCAGTGAGGATGCACGGGTGTGCACACACATGCACGGATTCACACAGGGCCCAGGCACTGGGCCTAGCATACCTGGTACAGGAATGTATCCTCACAGCAACCCCAGGAGGAGAGCTCGGCCACTGTTTGGCGACCCCACACACTGCCAAATGCAGCCGTGCATGACCCTGCACCAGCTTCAGAACTTCCTGCTGTCCTGAGTGCCCCCAACCTGGGGGGTCACCTTCCTGCACTATGTTGGGCAGCAGTTCATTTTGTCTCACAGTGCTCCCGTGGTCTGGTTTTCTGAGATCACCAGGTCTTTCTTCCTCTTTCAATTTGAAACTTATGCTGTCACCTGCCCACCACAGGTGCTCCTACAAGTCCTGAAAACACCGGTGGCCACAGCTCCCAGCGTAACAGCAACACACAAGCCAACACTGGACCACAGTCTGACCGACCGGCCAAGAGTGAGAAGATGCAAAGGGAGCTAAGGGGCGGCTGGGTTTCCTTCACCCACATCCGATTCCCTTCCCTGGAGATAAGCCTACTTCCCTGGCCCTGTAGGACAGGGTGGCACTGAGAGGCCCTGGCACGCGCCACCCTGAGGCCTCTGAACCCCACCCAGACAGAGTGCACACCCAGCTCCCAGAGGACCCCTGGCACCTCAGTTACAGCTCCGCACACCCCACAGGATCCAGGCAGGCTCCACAGGCGACCCCCGAGAGCCCAGGTCCAGTTGCACTGACACACGCCAGCTGCTGGGAACCACCGCCTTCTATTCAGCACATAGGACCAGCCGCTGCTTCTCTGCCAGCCCCCCCACTCACCCCCAGCGTGGCCATGAAGCCACCCGAGTGGGGAGACAGACAACAGAAACCTCGAAGAACCACCTTCCTAATGGGAAGAAGCAACGCAGGTTTATTTGGCTTCTCAACCAATTCACTCACTGCCATGAGTCAATTCCGGCTTGTAGCCACCCTGCAGGACGGGGTGGGCGTGTCCCTGTAAGATTCCAAGACTGCAACTCTTGGCGGGAGTAGAAAGCCTCATCTCACAGCCCTTTTTCAGGGCAAACAAACAAGCCAGCAGCCAAACAAACACTCAGTGCCCCTCAGGCCATTACGAACTTTGCACTATAGTCCATCACCCCAGAGAAAGTGCATCTGCCTGGGCAGCCCCCATGGTTGGCTCGAGCCGCCACCCAGGGGTGGGCAGTGCTGCCTGGGGAGAGATGTGGGACATCAGCTGGGCCCCAAGTGAGAAGCTTCGGCTGCCTGGGCAGTGGAAAGTGGTCAGCTGTCCAAAGGCCCAGAGGTGAGGAAGGGGTGGATGCAGTGAAACGAGGCTGGGGGCCACATGAGGAGGCCACAGTGACGGGTGTCATGTGCCCTGTGTTTGCGCCGCTTCTCCTGGTGGGTGTGCTCTGACAGCAGGGTCCTCAGGGGCCCCACAGGGGGCAAAGCTGGGGTGGAGGACATTCATTGAGACTCGGCACGCCTTCCTCTGAGCCAAGTTTGGGGCATGGGTAGCGGTGGGGGTAGGGCTGACACTGTCTGGAGCAAGCCTGGCTGGAGTGGGTGGCAGGGTGAACGGGGGCAGGGATATCCTGCCCACTGCACCACCTCTGCCTGGCCAGCTCACTGATGCAAGTTAGGCCACAGCAGCACAGTCCTGAGTCGCTGGTTGCCCATGAACTCTGGTGCCAACATACACCAGAATCATCCCAAAAGGTGCTCCATGTCAAGGCACTTTGCGGCCAATTAAAAAAAAACACGAGCCGGAGTGGTGGTGGTTTCTATGGCAACCAGCTTTAATGATCTACAAGAAGTCAGCAGGACACCCTCATCCTGTCCACAAGGATGCGCAGGAGGAGGCAGCACCGCAGCCTTCGGCTCCCTTCCCACCCCAGGGGCCTGGGGGTTACTGGAAGAACACCACGGAGAGATCCCGCCAATGGAACGTTCTTTGGGCTGTCAGGAGCATCTCAGAAATTCATCTTTCTGGACCTGTGTGCCATCAGCACCTCCCAGGAACCTGACTGTTGCCTTTGGAGTAGACCTCGCCAGCGAAGCGGGTCCCTCATGTGGCAAACCACCTCCCCTCTGTCCTACAGCTGCCCACAGGCCCAGGGGATGCCACCTCTGCAGCTTGAGCCCCTGCCTCTCAACAGACTAGCCTCGGGCTATGCCACCCAGCCCCAACCCAAGCTCATGCCACCCTGGGGAATCTATGACACATCTATGTTACAACAGGGTGTAGCCAGGTCCTAGGCTCTGCCCCTCACCCCCATGCCCCCACTCCTCCCTCCGTCACTCCCTTTGACTCCCCTCTTCCTGGGGAGGTAGGAAAGCACGCCTGCCACCCTTTCCCCAAAGGATTGTTCTCTTCAATAGACACTTCCTGGCCTTATCACATATCCGGCTTTGGCTGCAGTGAAAACGCACCCCAAAGACGGAGCACAGAAAGTTAATCTGGGATCACCTACCCCTGGTGGCAGGGGGGCTGAGGGTATGTGCGCCCCGCTGGACAGACTCCAGGGACCCACCTGGAAGTGTATCGGGCAGAACCGGCAGGCCGATGCCTCCCAGCACCCTCGCTGGGCCGCTGGGACCCACTCCTCCCCTCTTGCTGAGACTTTCCCAGGGCGCGCCTGGCTGCTGTGCACACGGTGGGAACTCGATGGACCTGCTCTCTGGCCGACATCAGGCCTTGCCCTGGGCTGCATGCACCATGGCTGCGCGGAGGCAGGCGCCAATCTGCCCACAGGAAGTACCACCAGGGGGCTCCTTGGAAGTGGTGAGCCGTCATCCCACGTACGGGGACACGTCACGGGGAGAAGGACTACAGGCAGACCATCGAGGAGACGGGTGGACGCAGTGGCTGCCAAAATGGACTCAAACAACAACTGGGAGGACGGGCAGGACCGGCCAGTGATCCATTCTATCACACGTGGGTTGCTATGAGGTGGAACCAACCAGACGACCCCCAGGAGCAAAGCCTCACTGTGTCCTCCCTGCCTGAAGGAGGGCTTCCTGCAAGTGGTGCCATGCGACAGGAAAGCCCTCAGGCCTCAGGGGTTGGAGACAGGCCTTGGCTCGCCTCGCCCTTGATCTCCAGGCCTGTCAAAGCTGCCCAGCCACTGCAGGGACTCGAGGCCACAGGCCAGGTAGAGGCCCTGGAGGGGGTGATATAGGGACAGTCATCGTGACCCACCGACCTCCCCCAGCCCGGGCCAGAGAAGCCAGGAACAGGCTGTGACTGCTTCTTGGGCCACATCCCCAGGAAAGTGGGAAGAGTAAAAGGAGTGAGCACTGTGGGGACTTGGGGTGGGGGTGAGGGAGCACGGTGGCTGTCGACCTGAGCTATCAGCGGGTTGGCTTCTGGGTGCTGAGGAAGTGGCCCACCCCTTGTCCCAAGAGGGGGAAATCAAAGACACACATCGCCCCCACAGAGGCCCTAGGACCGCCCCGTGATGATGTGTTTGTCATGACCCAGTCGCTTTGCAGAAGGATAAATCACACTCTGGTCCAAGGGGACCAAGACAGGGCAAGGCGGTGGCCACCAGGTCAGCAGCTGCCCAGAGACTCTCTGGAGTCAGGAGCCAGAGGGCTGGGAGGAAGGTAGGAGCTGAGACCCACAGGGAGAGTCTGGCCACGGTCTTTAACCTTTAACCAGGTGACACCAGGTGCTTGCGGTTCAGAAGTCCACAGGTGTCCTTTCTCCACTGGGTTCATGGAAGCACAGATGCACAGGGGGATGGGGCACAGACATGCTGGAGTTCAACCCCCACTACACATCCTGGTGGAGCTAGGCCTACGACTGCGCATCAAGGCAGCTTCTCCCGCCGCCAACACACACACACACACACACACACACACCCCACACCACCCTTACCCGCCCCCCACAGCCAGGGCCCACTGTTGCCTCACCTGGAATCGGTGCACCAGCTCCAGGGACTGGCTGTCATTCTGGTCAGCTTCGAGGATGACATCCGTCAGCTTGTGGATGATGACGTCCAGGGGGCCCTGCTCCTCAATTGGCCGGCTGAGGTTCAGCTGTGAAGAGGGAGTGTGTGAGTCTCAGAGCCCAGGACCCCCAACCTATGCCCCTTCCTCCCTACACCCCTCTCCACCCTGCAGACAGGACAGACAGGCAGAAACCCCATCCTGTGCCTCCTCACTCGAGGGCGGGGCCAGTGTCCCTAATTCTGTTCCCCCAATCTCCATGCTCCCAGGATGCGCGCTCGTGTGTGTGTGTGTGTGTGTGTGTGTGTGTGTGTGTACAGCATCAGGGCTGTGGGGGGGGGTCACTTGAGAGTGAGCATGGGACAGCCTGGGAACCCCTCAGGAACGGAAGTGAGGGTTCAAAGAGGGGGAAAAGGATAAAAACACACACACTGTCACTGCGTTGATGCCGGCTCACAGCCACCCTGTAGGACAGCGTAGTACTGCCCCTGTGATACTCTCTTTATGGGAGTAGAAAGCCTCATCTTCTCCCACAGAGAGAGGTGAAGGAACACACCCAAATCACACAGTCCAATCCAACTTGGGCTGCATGATAACAAGTCCATGCTCAACCCACAAACCACTCCATGTCTATGATCTTCCTGGATCTCAGAATTCATATGGGGACAGACCAGGAACATCCATTCCTGACCAGCTGGAGGCAACAGACTGCCTGGGCCCAACGCTCTGCCTGAGCTGCTCTGCAGGGGCACACTCACTTTTCCGAGAAGCACTGGGTAAGGGAGATCAGACCAGGTGGCTGACAGCCAGCCAGCAGCACCTGACCGGAGCTGCCTGCCTACCTGCCCTGAGCTTCCCAACCCAGGTCTGCCCCAAGCACGAGGTCACTTCCCTCCAAGGCCAGTCCCTCAAGGCAGCGGCACCAGGCTGGTATCCTGGCTGAACCCCCAGATGAGGCCACGAGCCCCACCCTCAACCCCAAGTGGGCTTCCCGCCAGGATTTTTTTTTTTCTCTTCAAAGTCATTAGTAAAAGAATCAGTGACCTCGCCAAATATCCACTCCAAGTGCTGGTAGCTCTGGGCCTGGCAGCATCTGTGCCAACCAGCAGGGGCTGTGGCTGCTGTGAGGAGAGTGGCAGGCCATGCGGACCATGGGAAGAACCCGCCAACCTCTGTCCTGTCCCTTCTGCTTCTGCCTCCAGTCAGCCAAAGCCAGCCAACAAGGGCCCTGGTGGAGGCCACCCCGGGGACCAATGCCAAGGTTGAGGGTGGTGGCAGGGGCTGTACCAGGTAGCATGGCAGGCACAACCTCAGATACAGCTCCGCACGGAAGCACACAGCTTGTATGGGGTGGGGGTCCTCAGCAATAGTTGAGGGCTTCCACTCTTGCCTGCTTGTAAACACCATTTCCTCTGAAACTTGGAGCACCACTGTCCGGGGACCATAAATGGGAGCCCAAGGCCTGACCAAGAGAACCCCCAGAGGGGGGCAAAGGAGCTCACCCATGGGTGCGGACACCATGGCCCCAGGCTGGCAGAACAGCCCCTCCACCACGCCCATCGCCAAGGAGACACTTCCAGCACCAGCGCAAGTGAGGTCCCTCAGTGGAGGGTTGGGATGGGCAAAGGGGGTCCCGGGCTCCGCGTCCTCACCTGGTCTCAGCCAGTGGACTTGACAACCCAGGCTGTTTGGAAAATACACGCTCCCTGTTCCTAGTCTCCCTACTGAAGGTAAACAGCTGAGCTCTGGATGCTGGCCACCTGCCTTTGTATATTTCCCAAGCGGTTTTATGCCAGCAAAGCTCTTTCCCGAGAACAGCAGCTCGGGGCACACATTGCCTCGGCCAGGTCCCCAGCACGGCCGGCCCTCCCTGAGGCGCCTTTGTGGCTGCCTAACTGGAGCTGTCAGCGGCTGGGAAGGCTCTGTCAGCACCCACTTCTCTCTCCCCAAGTAGGTGGCCAGACACTGCCAGCCCCCCCCCCCAAAAAAAGCACTGTGCCTCAACCTCCCCACGCGCACCACAAGGATGTCCTTAATTGCTGGAACTGGCCCAACAGAGACAAGGCCGGACACTTCTCAGGCTTGTGGTGGGGCTACACACTTCCACTTACAGAAGTGGTGCAAGGATGGTGGTTAATGGAACAATTTGTCATTTAATTTGAGCAGGGCTTCCAACTGGCCTAAACTAGTTCAGTCATGGCTCACACAGCCAAACTGGAACAGACTTGAATTAGTAATGCGCAGGTGTACTGAATGATCGCTGGAAAGGGGAAAACTACATGTCATAGGCCTGGAACAAGAGACTCTGGGGAGAGAAAATGAGCCCCCCTTCCGAAGACTGCTGGGGGGACACTGCATTATTGCCAGGGCTGTGGAGAGCAACACACACTCGGAGCTGTGTGGTCTGCAACCATCTTTGAGTAGGGCACCATTTTTTCCATCACTTCTGCTCACGAAATTTGGTTGCTCCGTGCAATGATGTGACGTTGGCTGGACCAGAATTTCAGTAGCTTGGCAGTTACGACCTCACCCACCATGAGGAGATCTAACAAAATGAAATCGTCTCCATAATGGGATCTGCTGTGAGCAACCAATCAGATGTCAGACCTTTACTCAGTCCACAGCCCTGATCCAATCTGCTGAAAGCAGTTTTGCTCATGGTATGGCCTGCTTTCAATGTCAGTGGAGGCTGCAGATAACCGAGCTGGCTCTGACCCTCCAGTTCTTCTGAGGAGTTGGCAGCAGCCTGCCGTCATACCTGCTCATCTTGGCTTCATTTGCTTCTGCTGCCCGAAGCCTGCCATCTGACCTGCGGATTCTGGGATCATCAGCCCCTGCAGCTGCTCAAGTCAAGAGAAGCCTCCAGCCTGACATCTGAGCCATAGCTTGAAACTTGCCTACTTTTGCAATTGTGAGCCATTTCTGTGATAGAAACTTCTCTCTCTAGATAGGCAGGCAGATAACTTCACTGGTTTAGTTTCTCCAGAGATCCCAGCCTAAGACACTATGCAATGCACACATTGCCCTGTTTTCTGATTAAGTTTCTAATAGCATGTCCATCTCCGGTACTCATTCCGTTGCACTTTATAGGGCATGAATGAACCCAGAAGAAGTGGTTCAAAACCCCGACAGAGACTTCCTGGGCATGTACCGCACGCAACACCCACAGCTGGGAGCAACGGCGTGAACACGCAATGCCTGCTGTGTCCTCAGGATTTCCCATCAGTCTTCTGGGCTCACTTCGGTAGCAGACCCAGGCGACTGGCCCCCACGGGTTTCTCTAGATCCTACCTATGAGATGGCACTTCTCTTAACCCTGGCACGTGCCCCCATGGCCCATGGCCATTTGTCTGAGTGGCCTCTTACTCATTTCCCAACATCTCAGCTCACAAGCTCACTCATTTCTCAGGTGAGCAGGATTTATCATGGCCTCATCTAGAGCCCCAGAATCCTCAAGGGCTGTGCTACAACTTTCAATTAGAGGAGTGGTTCTCAACCTTCCTAAGGCCGTGACCCTTTAATACAGTTCCTCATGTTGTGGTGACTCCCCAACCATAAAGTTATTTTCGTTGATACTTTAGAACCGTCATTTTGCTACGGTTATGAATCAGGTGACCTCTGTGAAAGGGTCGTTTGACCCCCAAAGGGGTCTCCAACCACAGGTTGAGAACCGCTAAATTAGAGAGTGATTTCTTAATTGTCTCCCCAGCAGGAACGTGAGAGCCCCAAAGTCAAGGCAGAGGGCTGGCACCCTAGGACCAAGAACCTCAAATAACAGTGTGGCAAGTATCTGCTAAGTACCAAAGGCAGACCAATGGGAAGGTGAGCTGGAGAAGGTGAGCGGCTCTTTTCCCGGTGAGCAGGTTAGAAGCAGATGAAGTGGGGGGGGGGGGGGACACACAAGCCTTGTTCTGGATTAAATTGTTCACACCACACACGACCCTAAAATGAGCTCAGTGCAGTCCTAACCCTTATAGCTATTACCATAGGCTTGTTGCGAGAGATGCTGGGTTATCATGGGGACACACGGGAGGAAGGTGGGTCATAAGAGCCTGCAATACGATGTAAACCATCACAAGGTTGGATATATAGCCTCCCCATCCCCAACCCGAGGGGGATGAATAACAGAAATGTGGGTGGAGGGAAGACAATGGACAGTGTAAGGCACAAAATAATAATATATAATTGAAAAAAAATAATAATAATAATAATATATAATTGATCAACACTTCAGGTCGTCAAGTGTCTGAATTGACGTGACAGCCAACAGGGGGTTGGTTTTGGTCACTCTAAAGAGCTCAAGGAGCCCTGGGGGCATTGTCTGATGGTGTGTCTAAGATGGCGTTCCTGACCATGACCTTGCACCAAGGTGGAACCACTCAGATGTATGCTTTAGCACTAGATACATAGCCTGCTCTGCTCAGCACCTTCAGCAGGGACCGCCACTACTGCTTTGGTGGCGTCCTGCACCCGAGTGACCTGGATCGTGATGGCTTAGATGAGATCATCCTGGTGGCCCGCTGAGGTTAGCTGGTGCCACCTCAGGACTGATGGGCGGGTAGGATGGCCGTGTGTCCATCTATAATGGCAAACACACCACCCTCGGCAACGTGACAGCAAATGCAAATCCTGGGTGACTCCATGTCTGGGGGAAAAGGCCCAATACGTACTGGTTTCTCCTGAAGTGAGCTCACGGTTTGGGAGCTCCATGATCACTGTGAGGTCAAAGGCAAAGAACCAAGTTGTCACTGCTGCTGGAAGGAGTTCTTTGGGAGCCCGGCTCTCTAGGGCGCTTCACATCTATAACCTTGGCCCAGAGAAGCTTCTGCTGTTCTCATCGCGCCCACCCCCGCCCCCATGCTGAGTCCTCTCTAGGCAGAGCGTTCTAGTGGACAAAGTAGCACCCCCACCCACTGATGGGGTGCCTGAAAGCAAGGTGATCTGGATATCTGACAATTTTATAATGACACCACAGGCATGTGAAATAAGAGACGACTCTCTGGTGACTTGAGTCCCTTCCAAAATCATTTCCTTTGCAATTGAACCTTTCCTTTCTCTGCTGAAGTACGTACAACCTGTGCCCAGACCTG